AAGCATGAGACCTAAGTACTTATCAATTTGCCTGATGCCCAGCCTGGCTGTCGCGCACCAACTTCCCCATCCCCCCCCGTTCGGCGCTCTTCCTCACTTCTCCCCCTGGTCTTCCCCACGTGTCCACTCCATCCCCCGCAACTCCCCACTCGTTCGCCCTCCTCGACCCCCTCCCCACTCCCCCGCCTCCCCCCTCCAAGACACGGCACTCCGCTTCGCCCGACTCCGCCCAGTCCTTTGATATTCCGCCTCAGAAACGCTGGGAGCGGGGGGCTGCGGGAGCCCTGGCATCTGGAAATGGCTCACACTTTCTGGCAGTTGCTTCAGACATTTTAGGAGAGGTTTTCGTTAGATGATCGGGGGACCTTCCTGGGACACACCTGACATATTGATTCGACCCTAGTTCGACTCCAGTTCGACTCAGGCTCGACCCAGGTTCGACTCAGTTTCGACTCAGTTTCGACTCAGATTCGACTCAAGTTCGATTCAGGTCGACGGACGTCCCACGCAGCTTCGACGCACGAGTGGAGCGAGTGGCTCCAGGAAGGTCCCCATAATGCGCATCTAACTTTCGAGTTTCTGGGAGAGGCCTGAGAGCTTGGGGAGATGCGTCAAGACCTTTGGGAGAGGCTTCAGGGCCGCGGTGATATGTCTCGGAGCTTCCGGGAGAAGCCTCGGAGCTCCCGGGAGAGGCTTCGGAGCTCATGATGGAGACGTCATATTCTGCGCGAAAGGGCCGAGTCAGCCATGCCATACGCCGTAGCGCGTGTGTGAAGCGAAATGACAGAGACAGCGCGCGCTGGAGCGTCCGATTTTCTCGGGGCCTTTGGGAGAGGCCCAGAAGTTGTCGGAGGTTAGGGGGTGAGATCGCAGTGGAACGGATATACCCCCCGCCGGGAAATAGTTTCGTTTCGTTCGTGTCGTGCGTGCGGGCGAGGCGAAGCTGCGTGGGCGCGCGAGAGGAATGAACCCGCCGTTGCTAGGGCAAAGTCAAGACAAATGATTCTCCCCCGCCCGCCCGTCCGGCGGTGGCTCGTGTGTCCCGCGGTGTTCCGCGGTGTCCCGTGGTGTCCCGTGGTGTCCGCCGTTGCTAGGGCGAAGCCAAGACAAATGATTCTCCCCCGCCCGCCCGTCCCTCCGTCCGTCCGGCGGTGGCTCGCGGTGTCCCGCGGTGTCCCGTGGTGTCCTGTGGTGTCCCGTGGTGTCCCGTTGAGTGAGATCGATATTGAGATCGATACTCTGATCGATGTGGTGCCCTGAGGTGTCCCGTGGTGTCCCGTTGAGTGAGATCGATAGTGAGATCGACAAGTGTCCCGTGGTGTCCCGTGGTGTCCCGTTGAGTGAGATCGATAGTGAGATCGATGTGGTGCCCCGAGGTGCCCCGTGGTGTCCCGTGGTGTCCCAAAAAGTGAGATCGGTAGTGAGATCGATAGTGAGATCGACAGGTGTCCCGTGGTGTCCCGTGGTGTCCCGTTGAGTGAGATCGATACTGAGATCGATGCTGAGATCGATGTGCTAGTGAGATCGATCGTGAGACCGATAGTGAGATCGAAGGGTGTCCCGCGGTGTCACGTGGTGTCCTTTGGTGGCCCGTGGTGCCCCGTGGTGTCCCGTTGAGTGAGATCGATAGTGTGATCGATAGTGAGATCGACAAGTGTCCCGTAGTGTCCCGTGGTGTCCCGCTGAGTGAGATTGATCGTGAGATCGATTGAGTCACATATTGTTTTCCCCCCTCTCCCCCCCCACCACCTCCTTATCACCCGAAGGGTGGTCGTATAGGTGGGATATGTGGTCGCCAGTGCTCTCAGATGGTCGTAGCTCGCGAAGCGCGCTCGTGAATACGTGTGTGCGCATAGTCGCTTTACGCGCGGTTCGTTACTCTATTGGCCAGGTCGGTCAGCAGTTCAAGTGTCGGTCCTGTGGGAATGCTGGAGAGGGGGCAGCGGGTGGAAGGAGGGGGCAACATTCCGATATGATGACGGCGGAGGAGGAAGGGAGATGGGAGAGGAGGAGGAGGAGGAGGAGGAGGAGGACAGGAGCAGCAGTTGAATAGGAGGAGGGGTACGAGGAGGGAGGGATCGCGAGCAGCAGGGGGCGGGGGCGGACGATGGAGGAGCAGTAGCAGGGCCTCCTCAACCATACCCTCCCCCCCCGCCCTCCTCCATTCCTTCTCCTTATAAATGACTCCTCCCTGTCGCACCCCGAGGCCAGTCTTTAGGGTAGGGCGGGCCGGGCGTTTCGCCTGCGACTTCCTCACCATTGATGACCCTGAAGCTTAAACATTGACAGCAGTTTCACATATGGAGGGCGTGTCGTTTTAAACATATGGCTCTTGCCTCAGCGCCGCGCATATTCGTTTTCAAAAATTGCAAGAGCTTCACGGATTGAGGGCGGGTCGGGTCGTTTTCAAAATGTGGCTCTCGCCTTAGCGCCACGCATTTTCGTTTTAAAATTTTGCAAGAGCTTCGCGGATTGAGGGTGGGTAGTTTGCAAAATGTGGTTCTCGCCTTGGCGCCGCGCACGTTCGTTTCAAACATTAGCACGAATT